ATTCTAAACAAATTATATATATATATACGCGCAAAACAGCGCACGAGACAAAATTATTTAATTCAGTCGCCTTCTCTTATGAGAAGGCAGGAGTTTCCGGTTCATCCTCGGCCAGGCTACAGGCCTAAGTGAGCAAAAATTTGCATCGTCACAACACACACACACACACACACACACACACACACACACCGCAATATTAAAAATATACAATTATTTTTTTTTATTTTTCTTATTAATACTATTTTTATATATCCCTATAATTAAATAATTAAAATAAATAATATATTTATATGTTTCTTTAATAGAGATATCCTAGATATCACGATGATATAAGAATATTCCTATGATATATTTTTGATATTTCTGTTGTGTGAGTAATAATAATTAACTAAATATTCTATTGAACTAATATCCTATTGAAGGAAGTAGGTAGGAATCCAAAGGAAATCCATGCTATTTTAATGACATAATTGACTTAATAAAGATGTATAAATATTCTTTATGTATAGATAATAGAAAGATAATAGATAGAGATATATAATATAGAGATATATATAATATAGAGATATATAGAGATATATAAGTATTTAAATATATGTACGATGGTGGATCAAATATAAACGAGCCTTTTTAAATTGCGCGTTCGTCGGCGGCGTGAGGGATCTGCAACGTTTTGGACAGTGGAGAGGGATCATGTGAAAGGCAGTAATAACATTGGCGCGCCACGTGCTTCTTACTCTCAGCAGCAATTAGGATAAGCGAGAAAGAGGTACACCCTGCAGTTGCACAACGTGTTATTATTAAGTTTCTCGTCAACGAAAATGTAAATGCTGTTGAAATTCGACGTCGTTTACTCCCGCAGTTCGAGGAAAGAACCCTTTCATGGGCTCGGGTGAAGCAGTGGTGTAACGAATTTAAGAAAGGACGGGAGCGTGTTGAAAACATTGCCCACCAGCATCATAGCGCAGAACACCGAAGCTGTTCGAGAACTCATCGAAGGCGATCGGCACTTAACTGTTTTTGAAATCTCTCAGGAACTTCAGATCAGCTATGGAAGTGTGCAATCAATAATTCTCAATGAGTTGGGATTTCGAAAAGTATCGGCTCGTTTGGTTCCAAAGTTGCTGAATGCAGAGAAGAAAGCCGTGCGGCAGTAACACAACAAAAATTGGCCAATATGCACTGAGCTGTCCTAAAACATCCACCCTACAGCCCAGACCTGTCACCATGCGACTTCCATATGTTTGGGCCACGCAAAGAAGCCCTTGGTGGACAGCGCTTCACAACGAACGAGGAGGTGCGGCAGTTCGTGTGCATTTGGTTTGATACACGTCTACGAACTTTTTATGATACCAAGATTAAAAAATTACCAAACCGTTGGAGGAAGTGTATAGATAAAATGGGGTACTACGTGGAAAAATAAGAAAAATGTAAATTAGAATTTATTTTGAAAAATATATGGTTTTTTTGTAAAAGGCTCCTTTATATTTGATCCACCCTCGTATATGTATAAAATGCGTCAGCTAAATTCGGGTAAATTTCAATTTTATTTTCCCGCCATATTTTACTTCAGTAAGTTGGTATTTGTGTCCGAGTAAGCTAAAACAATGTTTTGAACGAATATAACTTCAAAATGGCTGAGCAGTCAAGATCGAGCATGGAATATAACCGAAAAGTGACGATTATTGAAAGTTTTTGTGCTGGACGTACGTCGGTCGAAATAACTGAGTTCTTCAAATATCCGAGATCGACAATTTATGAAGTTTCCACTAAATATAAGATTTCGGAGAAGTCCGAACAAGGTACCTGTCAAGGAAGAGCCATTCAAGGGAGAGGTCGGCAAGGACTTTGGAAGTTGTCCAAAGGGCCCAAGAGCTGATCGCAGAAGATCCAGGGCAGTCTCTCAGAAATTTAGCTACAATTTTGGGTGTGAGTGAGGCTACCGAGTGATGCGCCAAATAACTGAAAAGGACCTACGTTACATAAGTCATAAAGATATAACAGATACTGTCTGAGGCTGTTAGAATGAAGAGAGTTGCTCGCTGCAACTTTCTTGTGTGTTCGTTAAAAAACGAAACTGCGGGACGCGTCAGATTTTTTCTGACGAGAAAATGTTTACTGTCGATGCAAAAGTGAATCGCAGGAACGACCGTTGGCTCGCCTATGACCCCGAAGATGTTCCCGTTGTAGCTAGGACGAAGTTTCCAGTCAGTGTTCACGTCCTAAGCGTTGTCTCTAGCGAGGATGACGTCATGCCACCGGGTTTTTTTAATAAGGGAGAAACCGTAACAAAGGTAGTATATGTACGCGTTCCGACAACAGTAGTCAAACCATGGATGGACACTGTGGCCTCCGGGAGGCCGTACATCTTCCAACAGGACGACGTACCAGCTCACACGAGTCATTTGGTCCAAAATTGGCTGTCGGACAATATCGATATGTTTTGGAGCAAAGAGTTTTGATTCTCGAATAGTCCAGATTTAAATACGTTGGACTATTACGTGTGGAGCATGATTGAAAGGGTCATTAATAAGTTGAGACATCCTAATGTAGCATCTCTCCGGGCCGCTATTGAAGCAACAATCTTCAGTATGGACGAACCGATGTTGTAGAAAGCGTGCAATTGCTTCAGGTCCAGGATCGAGGCAATAATTGCGGCAGACGGTAGTTACATTGAGTATTTTTGTCTATAACGGTTTCACAAATGACACGAAAAAAGGTATTTATGTAATTTTGTACGTTTGACCAATAAACTTTTGTTAAATGCATTATTTTGTCCGGATTTTGCTGACGTACCCTGTATATGTATTTCGAATATTACTATAACTTGTGAATTTTACATTGTTATATATTTTCAAAGAAAATAGTCAATAATTCTGTAATTTTTGTACATATCTATCAGTTCTTAATATCATAATAATTTTCCATAAAAATCCTAAATGCAGTTTAGAAAAAATTAAAAATAGAAGCTAAAAATAAGACTTTACTTTCCAGGAATATGTAAAAAATGTCATTTTTAATTGCGAATATGTCAGGTTCTGAATGGTCAAATTATAATATATATTGGCGCTTATAAATGCGCCAATAATTAGGTCATATTTAAATCTATATGTAGTGCAAATTGAATTCTTAAAAAATTTATTTTATATTACAACTGCTTCAAATTCATCTTCAAATATACTGTAGTTAATGAAATAATCCATACAGTATTTGAAGAGAAACTTAAGACAATTTTAAACATAAGATCTGATTATGAATATCGGTTTGCGTAAATAATCCCAGTCTTCAGTATTTTTTTCAAATCGCGATCCGCGGTCGATACAAGTGAATACGATCCGATTCACAACTAAATATACCAAATCTTGGAAAAACGGAGCCTCCAACACTCATTGCATGAAGTCACTATATGCGTATTATATATTCGTATAACGTCGACTCGCATGTTGTAACTATCTCACTTGACGCGCGGAGCCACTACCATATATTTAGCTTATCCATTTAGCCAAATAGAAGCTTATCGAAGCGAGATTCACGTGGTTTTGGAAACTTATCTATTAAAGCCCATGACTAGACCAGTAAGATTAGCAAAAAAATCAACAATTGCAAATAGGACCGAAGCATGAAAAACCATATTGAATATAAAAAGTATCCGGAAAAATTAATTTTGCAATAAATTGCTATAAATAAATTATTAAGTGTTGGCTGCAGAACAAAACTGATTACACCAAACAATTCTACGGAAAAAGTTACATAAAAAACTTGTATCACTTTTCCTCGTAGCGTCTTCCGTTTAATGTAAAAAAAAAATAAATAAACATTACGGTTTATTGAAAGTCGCTCCAGCCCAAGTTATAACAGTTACATGTCACCCATGAAGTATTATTGTCGATATGTTTTCCTTAATTGGTTTCCCTCATACAAACCTAGTATACTAAAAATAATACAGGAAACATTAACATAATAAGTAATAATATATATGGCTCCGTTGATATACAATCAATTAATATTAAATATGGCCATTAAGAACCTCTGTATGGATGTATAGTGCAATACAAGTGATTTTTTATTAACATAACTTATGCACACCATCATTTTTTATATGCATATGATATTTTTTACAGACGCAATGCCTCTTACAAATACAATATATTTCACATATCTGTTTTTGATAGTTATATAGTAGATCACTGTCTTGTGCATGCGATGTTAGATTACTATGCAAAAGAATTGTTACTCGTATACGAAAGCGTTGTGATGGATGTAATGATTTTTTGTCTATTTATTTATTACGTTCGTATACATTATCAGAAAATTCTAATTCTTTAAATTTCTTTTGTTAATAACTTTCTAATAAATAATAAACGATAGCTAAAATCTTTTAAATGTTATTAAAGATAATGACTTTGATAACATATGTTAAGGTCAAGTTAATCGGAATTGCCTTCTACATTGTAAAGTTTAGCTTAGTTTTATTTATTTGCTTTTCCCTCTTTTTGCTTATGTCTTAATGATTCCTGCGATCATTAGAAAGTAAACAGCTATAGATAGGAAGAAGAAAATAAGATAAAAATTACAAAAAAGTTAGTAAATATTAAAGAGTGGAAGGAGAGTGGAAGGGACTTCGCGAAAAAAGCTGGGGTTTCCCCGAGCGTATAGCTAAAGGTAAATGTTCTCTGTGTTCTCCTTCCACACGCTTGCGCCTCCTTCTACAGGTGGAAGGAGATCTTGCCACCTGGGCCCCTCATTCTCTACACCTCTTCATCTGCGCATAAAACGCTTTCCGCGTTAGCATTGTTTATTCGACGATGAGTGGTCGCGCGGAATCCCTCGTATAATCTTTGTGTAACGATACTGTCTACCAATAGAAGCTTGCATTAACTTCCAGGGATCTTATCGCTGAACAGACGGGGTATTGACTGTGATTGTACTTAGTGTGGGACACAATACTTATCACAATATCTCGGACCGTTCATAAGTACTTAAGTGTTTTTACTTTTCCGTCCAATCATACATTTCACGCGCAGAGTTCGTTGCGTTCGTTTCATATACCAGGCGATCAAACGACATGTCTCTCCAAAACTTCAACGAACTCAAAGTCTTTGACGATGCGGTGGACAACATGGACATCATCAGAACTATAATCGCTATGGAGAACCAAGAAGATTCTTTCTATATTGTGGACGTCGGTGATATTATTAAGAAACATCGCGAATGGATCACTAAGATGCCGAAAGTTGTTCCACACTACGGTATGTTCGTTATGCATATTGCGCTTCCGCATCTTCGAGCATTTTTTCCAAACAATCTCGAAGCTCGAGTAGGCTGTCGTATAAATCGACGTTTTTCCAAAATTTCAGCGGTCAAGTGTAATCCTGATCCGACGGTTATCAAGGTGCTGGCCACTTTGAACATTGGCTTTGATTGTGCATCTGAGGTAAATTATTGCGCTTTTTATTGCAATCTTACTTTTATTTTGAGATCGAATGTGGTGAAAAGGAAAGTTCGGGTCGCAAGCTATGAAAACTCGGATCGTAATTGTTAATGTCTTCTTGAATCGAATTTTTCGAGCAACGCATCCTTTTAATCGTAAAATATCATATCGCTCGAGTGGTGAATTTTCTACTATTTTGCAAGTTGCATAATTTTCTCCTTTACTTAATAAGAACTGAGAAAGAAAGCTTTTAACGTGTAAATAATATGTCGTAACAGCAAGAGATCAGACAAGTGATGCAGTACGGCGTGCAGGGTGATCGTATCATATTCGCGAATCCAACCAAATGCCCATCTCACATCAAATTTGCTAAAAAGAAGAACGTCAGCCAAATGACGGTGGATGGCGAATTAGAGCTGTTGAAGATCAAAGACCTTTATCCTGAGGCCAAGTGAGTGTGCCGAATCACGTGCCAAATGCGTGATCTTTTTTACCGACTCGTAATTGATTTTTACCTGTTTCACATATTAGCAGCTGCGCCCTATGCGTTCCGTTTCCTATCTTCTTGTACTTTACACCCTTCTGTATGACGTTAGCCGCATAATCTCCTGCAATGATCTCGCAACAGAATCGTGATACGCATACGATGTGACTCGAAGAATTCGCCGGTTCCCCTCGGATCGAAATTCGGCTGCGAACCGGACGAGGAAGCCGTGCGATTGATACAGCTGACGAAGGACCTCGGTCTGACATTGCACGGCTTCAGTTTTCACGTCGGCAGTCCATGCGGCGAACTGAACGCGTTCAGCAGAGGCATCGGGATATGCAAACGGCTGATCGCGATCGCTCGTGCGATAGGCTGCAAAGACGTTCAATTGATCGACATCGGCGGTGGTTTTCCAGGCGCGAGTGGAACGGATATTGACAAAGTATATACAGAAAAAATATGCATTTTCTCACGTATATCTTGCAGGCGAAAGACATGCGCGTTTCTCACCGTTGCCGTTCGAGAACGGCCTCGATTAATCATCATGATCTTTCCCTCAGGTCGCCAATATCGTGAACGACGCGATCCAAGATCTTGATCCCAGCATACGGATTATCAGCGAGCCGGGGCAGTACTACGTCACTTCGGCGTTTACTCTAGCTTCGTTTTTACACTCTAAAAAGGTCGTTCGTAGAAGCGGCAAAATGATGAGAATGTATTATGTGAACTGCGGAGTATATAATTCGTTCATAGAGGAGATGATGGGCTTGAAAGCTAGATATCCGCATTTTCTCTTCGAGGTAATCCACGCTTTTCTTACGGATATCGTATGCACCCTTCAGTATCTCTCATCAATGTAAAAATTATCGCCGATTTCTATCGCCGCAGCCGACCACTCATGAAAAATTCAACTCGACTCTGTGGGGACCAACTTGCGACTCGTACGATATTATTCTTAAGGATGTATTGATGCCGGAACTTCGCATAGGCGATTGGTTAGTCTGGAAGGATATGGGTGCTTACAGTATATCAATATCTACTTCGTTCAATGGATTCCCCACCCCGATAGTAATACCGATTATCAGGAAGAATCAATGGTTAGTGTCTAGATAGTCGATTGTTATCACTTTCAAGTGCTAGTTCTGCAAATATTAGCTTGTGAATTATTATCTCGCGTTTGTGTATTAGTATTATAATTTCTTTAATATCATACTGTAGTATGATGTGTGTTGAGTGCAACTCTTATAAAGTTTGTGGATTATAACACTTTCTCTTTAAAGGCGATCTTGCACGATAGATTTACGAGTTTTTTTTAGTTTGATTTAGTCTTAACATTTAATAAAGTGTGTGATATTTCCAGGAAAAAATTAATGTCGGAGATCAAACTGATGCATATACCTACGGATTTCATAGAATGGTCCAACTCTGTCGAGAGAGAAGATTATATCGAGAGTCGCTGACAAACGTTGAATCGGCTACTGTAGGATTAGGATAATATATCAATTTTTGACGATTAGATTAACTAATATTTTATTTATACTTATTCTCTCTCGATTACTTATTTAATCTCTCTTAATATCGCTTTTAATATCTCTTTTCATAGATGCGATATTAATACGGGATAGGCCATTTTATTGTTTTCACTTGAAAATTTCTTTTCTTATGCATTTTATGAAAAAAATCTAAATAAAAATTGTAGGATTTTAAGGGGGACATTAGATGGTAATATTATTATGTCATTGAAATATTTTTTTAAAAGTTATTTCTACATCAACTTTGATTTTTTTTTAATGGAATTATATGGATTATTCAACATAAATTTATTTTTTATTCTGATCATTGTGTATATAAAAATATTACAATAAGATCATCGAAGAGTGACTTTCCAAGATATTTTATATTTTATGTTGATACTTTTCAACAATCGATTTAACGTGTCATTTTACATATAAAAGTATTCGCCATTTTATATATATAAATAGTGATAATTATGAAAATCATGATTTTTAGCGTCGATTGATTAAAAGACATAGTAGCATCTCAACGCCAAGATAATTTGTTTATCTTTGTGAGATTTTTGTAGAAGATAAATAATATGACGGCACGTATTTATGAAATGAATTTCTTTATAAGAAAATATACCAAAGACTTTTGTCTTCTTCTATGTATAATGATTATATGTGTGTGCGTGGGCGTGCGCGCGCGCGTGTGTGTGTGTGTGTGTGTGTGTACGTGTGTGATGATAAAAAGTAAAATATTTATAAGATTTAAATTATTTTTCACAAAAACTTACCAAGAGTAGTGATTATTGGTAACATACAGATAGACATACCTAGATAGATATGTATATAGTATTTCATAAAAATAAAAAGATATAATAATAAAATATATTCTATTTCTTATTCAACCGATAAATTATTCATTTATTGTTATAATTAGTAATTATTATTATCTTTCCTTCAATCTGACATATCGATTATTGGGTAAAAAATTAAAATGTCAACTTGATTACACAAATTTGATAAATTACAAATCAATCATTTTATAAAAATAGTGACGTATAACGTAACAAAAAGTAAAGTCCTTTATTATTTATCAATATTATTTTGAAAAATTACAATGGTAACTTGATTACATCTGCTTGATAAATTAAGAGTTGATTATTTTATAAAAATTGGAACGCGTGACGTAATAAAATGCTTTATTAATTATCTGGGAAATCCCAGTTCGGTTATTATATCTTGTTCACTTCACACGATGAGCAGTTAAATCAGATAAATCATTGCTGACAAATTATTTGATGTGAAGATAATACCTTAAGACAGATATCTTTAAGAGTAGATAACAAGTACATCTAATTTATATAGCACGCATGAAATATTATATTAGATATATTTTCCATTCTGTAAGTTGCATCTTTATTATATTCTTCTTATTTTATCTTGATATTATAAACATATTTTAATTCATTCGCGAAAATTGCCACGCGAATAGCGCAATATATATATCGAAGAACCAAGTTATTTTCACTCTTCTATATGGCAACATTATTTTAGAATATTTTTTTTTGAAAATATTTCAAAATATTTATTTTAGAGAAGAAAAGGATTTAATCGCAGTAATTCTAATATTAGTAATAATATTAGTATTTTTGCAGAGGATGTCGTTCAATTTTATGTGGAAACATTATTTGAGTCATCGACAAAACACTCGTATTCGCATCTTTTGTACTCTCCTATTCAGTTTTTAATATTGGATTTATATTTTTCCATCTGAAATAGTACAAGCAGAATATCTTTAATCAATTTTTGTCCGTGATCACAAATTAAATTGACGCTTTCTCGGGATAAATATTTTTTTAAATATAAACTAATACTCACTCATCTGCAGTTTGGCATTCGCCTGGTTTAAGTCCTGCTCTCTTTTGCGCGATATATAATTCATTTCCAGTGATAATGTCTTCTCGAGGTGGTTCGGACAATAAAGAATCCCGCACCTTTTTTAATAATAAAATATTAATAGATTAAAAAATGATGTCATCTTCACCGCTTGTTTTGAGCGTGTTATTTATTTCTAATAATTTTTATACTTGCCGTTTCTACAGCCTGGAAAACTCGTATAAAGTTTCTACCAGCCAGTTTCTCCAAATCCTCTTTGGTCCACGTTGGTTCTTCTTCTTTGTTTTCATACAAACGATCGAATAGATCGGGGTATTTCGATACATCTTCCAAGCCTTCCGGCACCCTAGTCGAAATTTCAAATAAATATTCTTTTATCTGTGCTTTTTTTTTGGTTCGTTCACAATATATTATTACACATTATTAAAGTCGACGTAATTACTTACGAATTTATACCGTCGTAATCTGCACCAATACCAACGTGGTCCACTCCGATAAGATTTCGTATATAATTTATATGATCTAAAAATTCCGATACCTAATCAGAATGAGACTGATATTTCATAGAAGATAAATATCACAATGTTTGACCGACACCGATTGATTGAAATAATAAAAATTGCAGACGTACAACTCATTGGAAAAATATGGAATTACATTACGTTTTTGCACAAATAAGTAAAAAGTAATTGTTACTTGTATATATTACATCGTTGCATAAACGACATTTTTCTTTTTCCAATTATTTTTAATATGCGCATGATGAAAAATACAATACCTACGACGTCCTCCAATGTAGCGTTTCTTGAAGAATTGCAGTTTACGAAACCGCTATAGAAATTTACCATAATGATACCCTTGTTCTCTTTCTGAAAGGAATTTTTGTAAAAATATTCATCAAATCGACGAAATCTTCCCTTTAGAAAAATTGTTATACTTACGACCGAATGCAGGACGTCATCAGGAACGTTCCTGTAGTTGTTGCAAACACTAAAGGCGGACGAATGCGAAAATATGATAGGAGCCCTCGTTACCGCGAGCACATCCCTCATAACATTGTGCGACACGTGCGCCAAGTCGACTATCATTCCGATTCGATTCATTTCGTGAACAATTTTCTACAGTTTAAAATATTTACAACGTTCATCGTCATTATGAGTCAATCAAAGATCATTATTTTAGTTTTCACAAAATAACTTATCAAATTATTCAATGTGACATACTGTGCAATCGATAAAATTGATAAAAAAAGATCATGCCTTTAAAAGTTATTTTCGAACTCATTATTCAAATGACATGAGAGGCGAGCGCATATTTTTAGCTATTTTGATTTAATTGATTCATTGACGTCCTCGCTTATTTGGATTTTCGATATATTTTCTCGATCCCATCATGTTACCATATTTTTCGGTTATGTCACATTCGGTATCAATAATTCGTTATCACAACAATCTGATATAAATCATCGAGTCATGTCAAATACTCCGACTTGGGGTTTTCCATCGTACAAGAATACGAAACAAAATGCGCCGCGTCTCGCGCATTTAAAAACAATAAAAATGGTCATGATTATTTTCACATACTTGTCCGAATTCCGTCAGATTGTACACAGATCCATCATTTACAGATGATGCATCGGCCCTGTGAGAAAGCGAAGATAAAATTTATTATAAATATATTACGATACGAGGCAAAACATGTTTGGTGCTTGTATTTTGTCGTGCGAGAAAGGTAAAAATGAATTAAGTTTATGATTGTGACGCAGTTAAAATTTTTTTGCGCAATTTTAATGTCACAATATACATATCTCTCTCTCTCTCTCTCTCTCTCTCTCTCTCTCTCTCTCTTTTTCTTTCTCTTCTTTCTTCTTCTTTTTCTTTTCTCTCTTTTGGGAGAGATATAAATGGAGAACAAAGTGCGATTAAGAAATTTAATTCATCTTTATAAAACCTAATTGTGTGATAAGTGAGCATAAATACTATTACGCTTGCTATACAAATGACAGTATCTGATGCAACATACCAAGGTGTGTTGCAGGTATGAGTCAAGGTAATATAGCGTATTCCAAGCTCATAATAGAGCCTGAGAACCGCAAGGCTCGAGTCTAAGGATTGACCACCTTCGATGCCTATCATAGATGCAATTTTGCCGCTTTTCCACGTGGTTTCGATGTCCGCCGCGGCGGTAACTAATCGCAGATTGGCCGGATATCGCTTGATCAGTCGTTTAATCACGTCAATCTGCCGTAACGTCCGTTGCACGGCATCCTTGTATTGCGATTCACACCCGGTATACGCCACCCAGAACTGAAAGATCATTTGATGCTTGTTATCATGGGAGGCAATATCATCATTATCGTCATCATCGCCGACGCGAGATTGTTTCTGCTCAGGTAGTTTTATATAGGAGATTCAAGGACTCGCACGAGGAATGAAGATAATGACTTTTTTGCGAAGTACTGCTAAAAATAAAGTAGATAACAAACAAGTGAAGGAAAATAGAGAGAGGACGAAAACGGTATCAGGGAACTTCTCGGAATATAGAGAAAATATATCGTTTGGAGACGGTAAAAATTGATTAATTGTACAGAATAAATATAAGGGGAATATGAAGGGTTTCTGGGAAGATAATTAATCTCGTGTAACCGACTATCTACATAGCGTGGGCCACGTGACACTTACTTGTCCACCTACTTTTCCTGCAATTAAACGAGGCAGGTCGGTGAAACATACGGAACAGGCGGTTCTTCCCCAGACATCGTCGTTGCTCAGGTCGTCTTCGAAGTGAAAGGCTGATAAATTGTTGTTCAACTTTTCATAGAGATTCTCAGGTAAATCGTTGTGACTACAAATATAATGATTGAACATGAACAAACTTAACTGTTCAATGCTCACGAATGCGATAAGAAAGCGCAGATAAAGTCGATTTCGTCGAATTGTCTTGTGATTTGCATTATTGCGGGGGAATTATCTTTATATTGTAGCGACGCTACAGCAAAATTGATCAGAAACCATGCCTCGCTGTTAATTTGCGTGTATAGAATATACTAGGAAATATGATTCATACAGGAAGTGAGAATAACTTTCGAATTGATTTTGAATTGAATTTGACAGGAAGAATCAGCAAAACGTAAATGTCCTATAATTTCAAATTACGGAACATTGATCTTTGGATATGATGTAACTCTCAATTATTCAATACCGGCTAACGATCACAGATAATAGAAGACGTAAGAAGATATATTATGTAGATATTAATCTCAAGTGTAATTTTTATCTTTGTGCAGTAGCAAACTGAATCAAAAGGTACTGCCCGGTAAAATATAATGTGAGATCATCTATAAATTAGTTTCTAACTTTTAGAAATTATTAACGATTGGATCTTTTTCTGCTCTTTTCCCTATTCGTTTTAATTATAACGTGAAGAAAAATCGAAAATTAAACAAGATTGCATTCTTAATAGAAAGTGTAATGTAAAGAAGTGTAATGTATTAACATATATTGAGATTATCAAGGAATGATATTTCAAATATTTAATGATTAATAATAATAATATGAGTAAAAAGAATGCAAATAAAGTGTCGAAGTAATTCTCATATTTATCTAGTTCTATCGGCATATCTCTAATTATACAATTGGATTCTCAATTACCCATCAATAAGCGGTGCCGAGTCGAGAGCATCTCGGCCTTTAAATGTGTTCACACTTAGTCCCACGGATAATCCGATCATAAGCAAAAGAACTAACAGGCAGACGGCGACATTAATATACACCATTTTTCCCGTACAACATACAGAAATGTTGCCTGTAAAAGATCGCAAAATTAAAATTAGTTGAAAAGAGAAACGTCGAGTGGTACATTAAATATATATAATTAAAAAATATTAATATATCAGATATGTAAAATATTACATATATTATATTTTGTATTTTATACTTCTTTATTTTATACATTTTTCTATATTTGATCGATTTTTTAAAACATGATTTATATATTTTAATTTGTTCTTAAAATTGTATAATTTTTAACGCGCTCGAGCACGAATAATATATTCTGTTTTATATTTGGAATGTACTTGTCAATTTATATTCCGTAATTTCTATATTTTTATCAAAATACATTTTTTCGATATCTTTGTTAATTTCGATAAGCCGGGCAATATCAACGGTATTTAATTACATGTAGCAAACGCCATTGCATAGGGTCAGGTTTATTATCGTAAAAGAAAGAACTTATGAATGTCTTTTTTTAATTACGTGTCTTCTTAATGTTCGCTATAAATCAAATGAAACGGAAATTTTTTCGCAGCTGCACGCGCGCATAATTCAATAATCGTAATATCTACGTTTAATTGCGTCCGCATGTGAAGGTAATCACTTAACAGTCGAGTGACGAACGCTCTTGATTCATGTTGTCGAATAGATCTTAGTTATTGACGTCAAGAAAGATACATGATAAGAAAATACGTAGCACGTGTCAAGAATATCTATTTACAAAAATTGTCGATATGAAACACGAATTACAATGAATCTTGATAAAACATGTAGGTACGCTGAATTATAGTACAGGTTTACCTTAATTTATGCTAGGTAACATATTTTCTTTCCACAAAACTTTTTCAAACTTTATACATATGACAGTATCATATATATATATATTTTTTAATTTTCAAACTTTATACGAATGATATATATATATATATATATACATCCGTGTATAGTGTAACCTTAAACTTATGATAAATTCAATAAGGAAATTGAGCAATTTAATATTAGATAAACATTTTCTTATTAGATTAAAAAAGAAATAGAGAAAATGGCATATATTAAAATTTATATAAAATTTATATAATTTATACAATAGTGCGTAAATAAAATAATAAATTACGTCGCTATGTTGATATAATGATAACGGAAAAAAATTATCGAGTGAAATATAAATTGCAAAAAATAGTACTTATCGTAGAGAATAAAAATGTAATAATTGTCTGCATTCTTAATAGTTAATCAATCACTTATATCATGATTTATGATTGACAAGTGCGAAAACTCGAAAACAATTATCAGCTAAAAGTAGTTGCGATACAATTGCGAAGAAATTGCTCATTGATACGCTCTTTTTTAAGTACCGTTATTGTCAATTGGGTTTTGCCAGACTTAATATAATTTTATCGGCATATTATCGATAATTTTACAACTTCTAATCTGCGAAACGTCGTCATTTCCTCTCCGTTCTAATCAAAGAGGACACGCTTCAAGCCGCCACTCCAAAATGTCAAACTGAAGACTAGTCAAACACAATCGAAAATTGTCAAGCTTCCAATTGATACTAATTATAAATTTTTTAATCATATATATATATATATATATATATATATATATTTTATATACATTTTACATTATATTTTATATAAATTTTATATTACATATATATCATTATGTGCGTAATATAAAATTTATATAAAATATAATGTAAAATGTATATAAAATGTATATAAAATATATTGAAGGCACTCGTGAACCGACGTCGAAGCAATTCAAAATTACCTGTCTTTCAGATAACGCAATATCCAACTAGAGTGGCAAATTTTAGCACGCTATTTTATAGACGTTATTTTGATATGCATCTATTAAGGTTATCAATACGTATCATAAATGAAGTATGCTTCAACAGCACGATGGATCAATCGCGTAAAGCAATCGAAGTTTTTGAATGTGTCAAACCGGCTAAAGCTGTACGATGAGGAGATTGTACGGAGACCATTGAAAATTTTAAACTTTCCACCTTTTATTGCAATCAAATAAAGGCTATCGAGATTATCAAAGTATATACATCACGAACAAATATCTTCTCTTCTTCGATACCGACCTGTTGTAACTCGACAGCTTAACAAGCAAGCGTATCAAGTTATTATTTTCAGAAAAACTACCGTCGCAAGTGGATACCTTTATATATTTTCGTCTCGAAGAGAGGAAGGAGCAAGTACGCGCGTAACAAATATATTAATTTACCATCTAACAGATAAGGTTCCGATTGCGCGATATCACTAACAATCAGAAAAATAACCAAAATTCACGAAATCTCACATTGACGTAGATACATTCCAAAGATTCTCGCGGTTGTTCTGCTAGCATTCTTTTATCGCACGAATACACAAAACAGACAGATCTTTCCGCCTCATTTTCAACGTAATACGCCAGATTACACAGTAACGATAGCATATACAGTAAGTTCCAAATCTTGATTTATGTCTTCCGGTTTAATATTCGCAAAATATATATATCGTTTCATCGGACACTGCGCGCTTATCGATTAATGCGATAAATATGAGATTCACCCATGCCGAACGTGGTCGAGCATTCCCCCGGCGTTGTTGAGAGTAGGCGATGTACTGTTGAAAGAAGAAGCCTCGCCTTGAAACGCGTTTAACATACATGATCTAGCATACACATACGTTGCGCGGCGCTTTATGCAACAGTACATAATACATTAGCTTACAATTGGTACCTGCTACGATTGATATATCTCCTCCCTCCAGTGCACGGTTCGCACGCAGCTGTACCTCCGTTCGCACGCGAGACGCGACGGCAAAAATGATCTCTCCCTTCTTCTCCGCGCACGCTATTAAACAACTATATTCAAATAACGACTAGCAAACGCTCTATACGTTATATAATACATAACGTTATATAATAAACGTTGAGACGGGACTGGAAATAAAAACGCGTGCATTTGTAGTTTATCATACGCTAGCGATTGGGCAATCTCTTCCTATCTGTCGACACAGATAATACGTAATCTCCTCTCGTGTTGTTAGATAGTTCGGCAATGTGTATTCGTATCGTTGTCATCAGGGCAAGTTTGAATTTTTAACTTTTAATTACGCATATGTAAGAGAAAGAGAACGGCTATATGGTTTAATTGTAAAATACTGAGTAAAAGGCTGATGATTGATGTGAGATATGTATTTTTCATATCTACAACATCGAATATCGAGTTCATTTATATTGTATCGATCTTAATCTTCGTTTTGAGGCCATCATATTATCGACGTTACTTGTAAATAAAGGTAAATAAAGGTTAAAGGTAAATACAGGGAAATTCCATTATTCAAAATTTACCCAGGAATTTTACAAAACATGTCCCCGAACTATCTCACGCTTTTCTATAGCATTCATTTTAAAGATTAAAAGTATTTACGAGCGTTCACCTTCATTCATTCTCCCGCTTGTAAGTTTTGACACTTGATCTCTGAAGTTTCAATAATATTCTCTCATGTTTTTTTTCGTTGTATCCTAAAAGAATACTTTTGAAATTAAAAGATCTTTTGACTTTGACGCTAAGTCGTACCATTTAAAAATAAAATAAAACCCTTTAACTTATTATGTTGAGATGGCTAACGGACTGTCTGGCGTCATCTAACGACGACATGAAAAGACTAGCTTTCACTTATTGGTTTGAGTCCCAACTTTTATTAGTTTCGTGGAAGCTCTCTATTCCCTCTCCCTCCCTCCCTCCCCCTCTCTCTCTCTATCTGTCTATCTATCTATCTATCTCTGTCTCTCTTTCTTATATATATATATATATATAATTTATAGAAGACATTTTCATGTTTTTCAGTTTTAAACGATAAATGAAAAAATTCCACACCTGAATCAGCGAATTTGCAAATAAAATTTATAGACCCTCAAGCGATGTGAATGCTATATGTGTAAGATTTCTTGTTCGTCATAATAAACTTTAACATGAATTTTTATAAGTATTTTCAATGGTCTTTTTGCGAACCTTGAAATCGAAATGTAAAGCATGGTTTAAATATTTCATAATCTTAGAAAAATAAAGCATCTGGAGCCTAAAGATGGTAGGTTATTGTTGGTAATATTGAATTTAAAAGAAACTATTGATTTAAAGATTATTTAACTTTAAAAATATCAAGAAGACGATCAATACTTTAACAGAAGAAAGAAAAAAGAATCAAAAACCAAATCGCCGATCTTTCATCGCCTATTTCTCTAGTTTGCCGATATCTGTTGTCAGTTGGTAACTACGATGTATCCGATGATAAATGTGAAACCTTTCTTTTTAACTGTAGCTTAAAATAACTTTCATTGTTTACAGATTTTCATAAATGAAAATTTTTTGACGAATGGTTAATAGAACATGCGTGATTTACGAGATTTACGAGATCATTCTAATTTCCAATTATTTCCAATTTTTGATCAAATTGTAACTTATCTTTAAAGTTAAAGGGTAATGATTTTATCTTACAAATTGTTGCTGCACTACGTACAAAGATGACGCTAAGTGTATTGTTTAAGAGATGCTACCATCTGATGAACTCAAATAATAAATTTTTCTTTTGATTTCTCATTAATGTTTATTAATTAGTCATTTATAATATTTGATATATTTTCAAGTAAGAGTACGTTGTGTATGTGTTGTGCATGTGTTTTATGATATAGATACGTAGAAGTTTACGATTATTTCTCTTCAATAACGGCATATAATTTTCTACAGTTAAATAGATAATATTTTGCGATATATCTTTGCATAAGTAAGATACGCAGATCATCTAAGATAAGATCATCTTGTATAAAAAAGTTTGTCCAAAATTGAAATATATCTTATGTACAATTTATAAGCATGCGCTTTTTTTTAAGTCAACTTATAAAGTCAACTTATAGAGTCAACTTATAGAGTTGAGAAAGAGCGTAAAGTTTGCCGCACGAGAAATATAGATTAATCAAGATTAATGTCGTCACCTAACATGCATTTTAGTATGTTTTTTAACTTTTTCTGCACCAAGTTAAATTCTTCGTCGGCGATGTCGGAGTCTCCTTGGACTCGGAGATTATCGAGGAGGATTTCTTGGAAAAGTGTGTCTCGATAGGGATAACGACTATACGTGTAATTTCCGAGCAGTCAAATTTGTCGAAGAATTTGTTGCGAGCAATACATCTTATTTAAACCCGATTTTAACGATATCTGCCTGTCAAAAAGGGACAAAAAAAAGTTGAATAAATATTAACGGCTCAATTAAAGACGTATTTAATTATTCAAGTGCTTTGAGAAATATCTATTTTTCGAATAACGTGCTTACGACGAGACCATGCATTTCAAATTAATTAACCACCAATTGGAGAAGTGACAAAAATGTTATCACGACACACATACACACTCCATATAATGCCACCAATAATAAAAGATAATGTCTCTCCTCTTTTGCTCTTTCTATCTCTCTCCTCTCTCGTTGATGAATGAACGAATAGCCAGACATCGTATGCTAATTAATTAATGATCGGTGTACAGTGCTATTGACATGGTGACCGACAAGTCGATCGAAAGTTTGGGAACGCAACATCGAGGCAAAGGAGTAAGAAAGCAAAAACGATCGATCGCTCGTTAACGACAATACTAATTAAATAATATAAAACCAGTAATGTCCGCCTGATAGAAACGACTCGTTACTGTAATATAAAACTTGGCGGGCATAATTAAAACGACGAGAAAAGTTAGGCATAATAAGGTGGAGACGGGGATAAGGAAAGAACAGCAAGGAAATCTGTTATTGATTTCAGCAGGAAAAACGGGACATGAAATGGGGTGAGTTTTATTATGTTCTTCGGGTAAGATTGAGTGACTGAGAATAGTAAGCGTTAAATCAATATAATAGGACAAATTGCGTATGTTGTCACACAAACACAGTCAATATTTAAAAGTATGCAAAGAAAGAGAAAAAAAGAAAACGTACGCTGAATATTAATGAATGTTAAAGTGCGAAAAGCAAGCATTCACAGTAAAGCACTCTAAAACAGCGAAAGACGCAAAATATCGTTTAAGAGCTCAAGCAAGCATGAAATATTTTCAGCGAATTGTTTATTTATTTCACGACGCGAACTCGCCACCGCGAAAGATTATCTGCTGATCCGCGTTCTCGTGTTCTGTCGGCGATATTCCAGACAACGTGATGGAAGCCGATAGGACTGTATGTAGCGCGAGCGAGGGCAGGTGCGCGAAGAGGACCGACGGCAGGAATTCGATAATTGCGAGTGGAGGAAGATTCGCTCGACGACAGGAATGCCATGCGCGAGACGAGCCGTGGATTTGCATAAGAAGGCTCAACGACGGTGACGGCGACGGCGGTCGCGAGTGGTGTAGAGGAAGTGACGCGAATTGTCGTCATCGTTGTCGTTATACGTCGAGTCCGACGGCGACGATGACGACGACAGAACGGCGTTTCCCGAGGGTGCGAAATTCTTCGTCAAAATGCAGCCGGCGCAGTGGGGGCGGTGACGTCGGTGCGACGACCATGAAAGCCAACAAAAAGCTCAGCAACGTACTTGCACCAGTAAATAAGACGACCCGCCAGGACCTCCTCGTATTCGGAGCTTTATCGTTGTAGATTCGGTTAGTACCTAACGAGACGAAACTCTTCTTTCAATCATACGTCGGGGGATTTACCCACCCCTGTCTGCTTCTATCGTATCATCGATGGACTGCACGAAAAAGAGCGGGTCGGGGCGATTTTTCTCCGAGAACGTTTCGTGATTAGAAACAGCGGGGGTGTGTTCGCGTCGCGAGAGAGAAAGAGAGAGGGAAAGGAATAGAAAAGGCAGCGAGATACCCAATCCGGCAGACAAGTCTCGTCGGATAGACGCTTGACGTCATCATTTTTTTTGAAATGGTCAGGTTTTTAACTTGCGACAGAGAGATGTCAACGGCGGAATTCTCAGGCCTCACGTGCGCCAGTCTAGAATGCCTCCGTCCCTTAATTTGGCGCAAGAAAATCACGACGACAAATGTAACGATTTCCGAACGTTCTCATGAATACAAAGGATAAGATTATCATTCGTAATACGCGATGTGAAAAAATGGCTTGCCTTTTTCTCCCATAAAGCGAATTTTTAAATTGCTTTCTCCACTTGAGAATTATTGACACCGGACTACAAAGGCAAATGCGAGCTCCACTTTGGAAAGGTGCAACTTTTTTCTTCAATTCACCTCGACGCAGGTCTCGCGTGAATTTGTCGGAAATGTTCCTCACTGGTAGTGTGCATGAATCTCGACTACCACGAAGGCCGGCCGACACGATAAGGTTGGGAATATTAAATCGTACGTTTGAGTTTCGCTCAAACACATTGTCGTAACGCGGAGAATTTTATTTCGCGAAAGGCTCACCGCGAGGGGATACCACATTGCAATGCAAGCATAGCCGTCACAGTTTCTACATATTATATGGCGGCAAAGTTGCAAGATGAGAAAAGTTACATTTTTATGAAGTAGAATTAAGTGGCGGTCCCTCCGTAAAGCATCTGAAAACTTCCACTGGAATTGCTCTAACCGCTCTATGTCCCTTTTGGGATGTGTAGACGCGACATGTGTAATCGCAAATGTGAAGTGATTTTACGCGCGAAAAATATATACAACTCTCCATAATCACTTTCAAACTCACTCTCTATACAAAAACACGAGATAAAATTAAATAATTATATACATATTCAAATTCGATTCAAATGAAATATATCAGTTTGAGAGAGAAAAATATTATTTTTCAGCTGATTACAGAAATAATAATTTTGCGTTGTATTTATTAAAATATTCTACAATTTGCATAGTTCATTCCACTTGGTTCTCTTCTCTTTTCTTTTTTAAAAGGAGGAAGGGGGGACGGTTTTCCAGACG